AATAAGGATTACTACATATCGGAATATTATTTATCTATGGTGAGAATGTTATATGATCAAATCGGTTGATCAATATTAATCAACAATATTAATGTAGAAACCACAGGTATCGATTACTAAAAATTAGGCATGTGTAAAAATAATATCATATCGGATCGGTATCTATATTAGATACCGATCCGATATGATATTATTTTACCAGAGGGAGACTTTATACAAAAGTCGTTTGCTTGGGCACCTCTGTCCGATTCGTGTTTCTACCGTGAAGCAGTTGTGTTTGCATAGCTGTGATCCGGTTTGAGGGGTGGGATATAGCAGTGAATTTACAGAGTACAGAGGAATAACATCTGAGTCCTCAGGAATGGCAACGCATGAGGAGTTTCATGAGCAAAACAGTAAACTCTATTATGTCCATGGTACAGGTCGTATCTATAGGCGACAGTTACCACTTTCCATCAGGTGGGTTATCAGCTTTTTTTGCCATTCTAAATTGTATAAAAATAAATTCTATATATTAGATTCCTCTGGACATTGATGGCAGAAAAAAGGTCATCGCCCAGTTCGATATCGCCCCTATCTGTCGGGTATCTATTTTCAATTATATAAAAATCTGTTATCCAATATTGTTTTTTGGATAACATACTTAATATATATTAATACAGTATATAGATATTGTAACTAAAATATATAGTATTACCCACCTCTACTTAAAATTCGTATTAATTCTAATATGAATTACCATTTAGATAGGTGACAACACTCGATTAATTATAGAATGAATGAAATATCAATCAAATATGTAAGTAAAGTAATACGATCTACCCGGTTAATCAATATTGATCGTATGCATTTTATTGTAGTGAAACTAAGCAATATTTTAAATGCAAATTTAATATTAATAAATTCTCATTAAATTCGTTACTGGTTTCGTACATAAATAAATGTGAACGAGTAAAAATGGTATTAGATAAAATATAATCCACCTTTTGTATAGTACCATTTTAGTAAGTAATATACATTCTCAAATACCAGTTGTTTCCTGCAGCCCTGATCGTGTGATTTGGTATATAAAATATCCTATGAGTTAAAATATAATATACATATAAACTACATTCATAAAGTTTCAACCAATTCAACTGTTCCATCATTTTATAGCATTTAATATGTGATCCTTTGGATTGATATAACTTTTTTATTTATGAACCGATTGAAATAAAACAAACACTAAATTTTAAGTGGAGCAAACTGCAACACATTAGTGAAAAACCATATAACCATTTTATAGCATTTAATATGTGATCCTTTGGATTGATATAACTTTTTTATTTATGAACCGATTGAAATAAAACAAACACTAAATGTTAAGTGGAGCAAACTGCAACATATTAGTGAAAAACCACTTTCAAATCGATTAAATCGTTTCTGAGATTAGCGCTCACAAACGTATACATATAAACAGACATACAGACATAAATTCTAAAAATAATTGATTTGGTTTCTATTGCGTTCATAATAGCCTCCTATAATAGTTTTTCTTATATATCTTCTATGTACAGACAGCTGCCAGTTACGATTTTATTATATCTATGTATTGATTGATAAACTATTATAGCAAATCCCTCATTGCCATATGCCAATGACAACGGACATATGTCTGTTCGTGTATTTTAATAATCTTCATGATGTCCATGCATGAAACATAATTATTAAAATTTTATAAAAATACAATGTTGTTATTGAGACATGAAAAATGTTTAACTATGGTGGACGGACATGTGCCAAAGGAATCTGTTACAGTCAATCAACCTTCAAGGATCTGAAAAGAATGTAAATTTTGTGATGAACATAACAATTGCCATGGTCACATTTCGCCGAGCATATTAATATACTATATGGCAGAAAGCCAGCCTGCTGTTGTTACGCGGATTTCCTATGTTGATTTAAGTTGTTATAAATGATTTAAATCACCTCACGAAGAGAGAAGGGAAGGAAGTTAATAGTAAGTATTAGTGCGGACTATCTATCCTAGTCCAGTGCTAGCAATATGTCGGGTCGACCTTCACGTGGTACCCTCTGGAAACTATCGTCTGAATTTCAGATGTATTCGTCACGATGGGCTAACGGATTTGCCTTTTCATTCTCACCTATCATCCCTAACTAATGCCCCGCCAGCGTATATCATATGCGCGGGTGGCTTTACCATTCCATTATCATCCATTAAAAAAATCACCGAACTAACTAGTTTAAAGTTATGCAAAAACTTTGATATCAGCTAGATTTGATAATACAATCTGGAGGTTATAAGGTGGAATAATGCACCGCTAAGCCCTGACGCTTATTAATTAATTAATTTACAAGCGTACAATTCATTGAATTAAATGAACATTAATTATTTAAATTATTACATTATTATTTAATTTAATTATTTATTGTCATTTATAAAACATCTTATTAATTGATGGATGTGGAATGTTACAGGAGACCAATAATGTTATTTAATATTTAAATATTTTATTACGTACAATGTTACAACGATTATTTTAGTGACAAGACACAAGTCAGTTTATTTTTATATTTAATTGAGCTGTAGGTCTATGGCCGTGTACAACCTCTTTCTTACACTCCTCCTCACGGCATAGTATCTACCTACTGTAGGAGTCCCAGCTCTTGGCGACAGTATTCATATTTAGGACGAGGCAAAGCTTTTGTAAAGATGTCCGCTATCATATTCCCTGTTCCTAAGTATGAAAGTTGCACCACATTTTGTTGCAACATATCTCTTATAAAATGTTGGCGGATATCGATATGTTTGGATTTGGCGCTAATGATAGGGTTTATTGCTAACTGTTGTGCGGCTTGATTGTCGTTGTGAATAGTAATTCCTTTTTGTTTAAAGTAACCCAAATCAATTAGAATATTTTTCAAATGAACAGCCTCTTTTGTACATTCGCTCAAAGCCATGTACTCGGCTTCCGCCGTTGAGAGTGCTACAGTCCTTTGTTTTCTTGACTCCCAACTTATGACCGCACCGTTCTTCATAAAACAATGACCGGTATATGACCGTCTATCTAATGGACACGATGCCCAGTCGGCATCTGCGTAACCCTTTAAAATTTTATCTCCATTCTTGTGGAATGTTAATTTTAAATCTATTGTACCTTTTAAGTATCTAATTACGCGCTTTGCAGCTGCCCAGTGTTCTTTTCCATAATACGCATTGAATTGACCAAGATAGCTAACAGCATGAGCTATGTCTGGTCGCGTGGCAACTGACAGGTACATGAGGGCTCCAATCAAGTTTCTATAGGGTAAGTTCGAATCTGGATGTTCTTCTTTCTTTAATTTTAATGCTGTCTCCATAGGAGTTGCCACAGGTTTTGCATCTTGCATGGAGAATTTCTTAAGGATATCTTTAATGTATTTCTTTTGACTCATGGTAATTTTTCCTTTATCCTGTTTAAATTCTATACCTAAACAGTATTTCAACTCTCCGATGTCTTTCATTTCGAACTTTCTCTCTAGTGCTTTCTTTACTTCTTTTAAAATTTCTGAACTTGGATATGCTATAATTAAATCGTCGACATAGACTGTTATTATTATTTTATCTCCTCCTTTCTTCAATAGGTATATGCAAGGATCTACATTACATGATTCAAAACCTATATCTTTTAATTCTGCATCTAATTTTTTATACCATTGGCGTCCGGATTGTTTTAATCCGTATAAAGCTTTCTGAAGCTTGCAAACTTTTTCTTCTTTAATATTTCTAATATCTTCTAGCATCCGTTTAGCCTTATTGAAGAATGTTAAATCATTTTGACTACTTTCGTCAACCATAATTTCCATTACATATTTTTCTAAGTAAGGAGGCATTTTCATTTGTATATTTTCTTCTAGCTCTCCATTAAGATATGCTGTAGTGACATCCATTTGATCTTATTTTAGATTATCCTCTATAGCTGAACTAATGACTGATCTAACAGAACTTAGTTTCACAACGGGGGCAAATGTTTCAGTATAATCTACACCAGGTTGCTGTGTGAATCCCCGCGCTACTAACCTAGCCTTCTTTATTTCAGTGTTATCTGCTTTCGTTTTTATTCTTAATATCATTTTGTAATCTACTTCATTGATACCTTTTTCTTTCTTTGCTATTGTCCACGTTCCGTTTTTAATGTGTGCTTTTATTTCAGCTTTGATAGCATCGTGCCAACCTGTATCATTTTCATCGTGTTCACCAAGGTAAGCCATTTCTGTCACGTGCATGCTCTCATCTGTATCATTTTCTACTTTGTAATCTTTCAACCATGCTGGTCTCTTTTTATCTCTTTGTGGTCTTTTATGTTGTGACGTTCTGGGTTCTATATTACTAAGATTATCTTCTTCCTCAGTTAGCGTTATGGGTTCTTCATTTGTGGTATTATCGTCATCATTTTGATCAGAAACTATAGGTTGAATTTGTTCATCTATTTGCTTCGTATCTATTTGTTCTGAATTTAATTGTATATACGACTTAATACCTTCTTCATTTTCATTTGTTTTTATTTCTTCGTAATATAAATCTTTTAAGAATTTTACGTCTCTACTTATAACGACTCTTTTTAATTCTGAAACCCATATTCTGTAGCCTTTTGTATTTTCGGAGTAGCCGACAAAAAATCCTTTCTTGGCTCTGGGTGAAAATTTTCTTAAATTTCTTTTATTTAATACAAAAGCTTTTACTCCAAAACATCTGAAATATCTCACTGATGGAGTGTAACCAACCCATATCTCGAAAGGTGTTTTCCATTTGTGGCCTTGGAAGGCACTCTATTCGTTATATAATTCGCCGTGTGTATAGCTTCGGCCCAAAAACTTTCTGGTATTTTTGATTCGATTAACATGCATCGAGCTTTTTCCAAGAGAGTTCTATTTCTCCGTTCAGCTAACCCATTATGTTGGGGCGTATAAGGAGCTGATAAGCGTCGAGCTATGCCATTTTCCTTTAGGTACGTGTTGAATTCATTATTAACATATTCCTTTCCGTTATCTGTCTGCAAGATTTTTATTTTATTTCCTGTATATCTTTCCATTTCCTTTTTATATTCTATAAACTTTCCTAAAACTTCATTTTTATTTTTCAGAAAATAGACTCTGCCATATCTGCTGTATTCATCCGTAAAGGTGACGAAGTATCTGTGATCTCCGTTACTATTTACGGGCATTGGACCACACACATCTGAGTGTATTGTATGTAGTTTTTGAGGAGCTTTTGTTTCTTCAGGCCTTTCCTTCGGAAAAGGTAAATTCGTCATTTTTCCTTTTACGCAACTTTCACATTCATTTGATTTGTCATTCTCATTAAAATCAATGCCTTTTATTATATTATTTCTCATAGCTCGTTTTAAGTCATATTCATTTAAATGTCCTAGTTTTTTGTGCCATATGTCTATATCTGATTCTTTTTTATAGACTTGATTTGCTTTTTCTTTTGTGCTTAAATTTGCATTCACATAATAAAGTTTATCTTCCTTCCTTGCTGTAATTATTGGTTTTCCATTTGGATTTTTAATAATTGCATTATTTTTTGTAAATAATACGTTAAAACCATTTTCAGTAATTCGTGCTACGGATATCAAATTAGTTGATAACTCTGGAATATATAAGGTATTGTGTAAATTTACTGTTTCATTTTTAATTTTTATCTTTACTAACCCTTTGCCTTCTATCTTTTCTGTTTTATTTGAGGCTAACTTTAGTGTTCCATTTTCTTCTTTATTTATGAACACGAAAAGAGTTTTATCATTGCACATGTGAGATGTGCACCCACTATCAATGCACCATTTATTATCATTTTTATTTTCTATAGTATAACAAGATTCAGTGCAATATAAATTTACATTTTTATTTCTTACATTTTTGTTAAACCAACAATCACTTGTTTTGTGTCCAAATTTATGACAGTTGTCACATTGTATTCTATTTCCATTTGAATTCTTATTTTTGAATTTTTGAAATCGATAAGATTTTTGTTTATGTTTCCCTCCATAAAATGCTTCTTCTTCTTCCTCCTTTTCCAGATTTTTATTTAAACGAGCTTCACTTTCTTCAATAATTTTTGTTTTGAGTTCTTCGAGGTACGGAAGTTTGTCACGGGACTCGATTGCCACTCTGAAGTTCTCGTAGGAATCTGGCAAACTGTATAATAACATTATGCTCAGGAGGTCTTCATTGATGCTGATGTCCATGTCTTTTAATTTATCCACCAAGTCGATGAATTCATTTATGTGATCTCTGGCGGATTCATCATGTTTCATTTTTTTGTGTAGTAACTTTTTTAATAATGTTGCTTTTCGTGCAGGTCCACGACTTTCGTAGGCGTTTTTAAGGGTCTCCCATACGTCTTTTGCTGTTTTGCATGATTTTACTAATTTAAGTTGGGACGGCGAAATTATTAATAGCAGTTCGGCTTTGGCCAATAAATCTTTTTCTGCATTAATATCGGTTGATGATAAACATGTAAAAAGTCCTGCTTTTATCAGTACAGCTTCTGCTTGTATTTTCCATGTATCATAATTTGTTTTATTAAGAAGTTCAAAACCAACTTGATTTTTTGTATTCGCCATCTGTGCGTTGCTGGCCCATAACCTGATGGATGTGGAATGTTACAGGAGACCAATAATGTTATTTAATATTTAAATATTTTATTACGTACAATGTTACAACGATTATTTTAGTGACAAGACACAAGTCAGTTTATTTTTATATTTAATTGAGCTGTAGGTCTATGGCCGTGTACAACCTCTTTCTTACATTAATTAATATAATTATTGATTTATTCTTTATTTCAGATGGCCTTATCACAAATAATATAATACTATACTAGTAGCCTTATGTTGTGACTCAAAGTGGATATAAAGTCTTTATGCCTGTTAAAAATATTATAGCAATAAAGTGCAAAGTATTGTATGCGCTATTTTATTTCTAAGGCGTATTGAGTTAATATCACCCATGTAGTTGAAAAGAAATTTATTTATTTATTAAATAAAAAGTTATAACATACTTATGCATAACACAGATTTTTTTATACAACTTAGAATGGCAAACAAGCTGACGGCCCACCTGATGGAAAGTGGTAACCGTTTCAACATAAAGTACTTTTGCTTAGTTTTGCTCTGTACCTGCGGAATCGTTGTTAGGCAAATAAGTGTTGCCAAACAGATAGCAAAGATTGTTACATTCTATTTTTTTTTAAATACTATGTCACCAATCCGATTCATATTCAAGATAATGTAATAAATACACAAGCATAGAATATATTTCTAGAAATAATGGAAAAAACTTCTGAAAGGAACATCCTTACTCATTACAAATATTAAGTATAAATGTGAAAGTGAGTTTGTTTGTTACCTCTTAGCTTAGTTAGTACCATAACCTCAGCTTTAAGTGCTTAACTGACGATTATGAAATTTGGTATACAGGTTTATTATATGGGGATGAGTAGATATAGGTGTTTTTTATCCCGGTCTATAAACGCCGGTAACGCGGATAAAGTTGCGGATAAAAGCTAGTAAATAAATAAAACTATCGAAATTAGTGAATATATGGGGCATCTAGTCCCCGTTACAAAGTATCCTTTTCCCTTCGCGCACGCGGAGTTTTCATTACATTTTCATCTCGTAAAAAAATCGAAGTACAACCATATAAACGGAACTATTTCACGCCGGGGGAAAGAGATTAATTAGTTATTAATAGAGATCCTAATAGAGTAATAGAGATTACCTTTCCATTATCGCCTATTAAACTATACCTAAAAAACTTCTTCACAGCGGAAATGCAAGTAGAATGAGAAATATTTAAGCAGATGACTTCTGTGGTCTCCCTCAAAGCCCAACTTAGCTTGGTCCAGCACTTGAGCTAACAATGAACGTGTTTATTTTCAAACTCCTAACAAATTCTTTAATGTTGTTACTAGTATAGTATTATATTATCTATGCTTTTGAAAAGGTCATAAAAAAGGAACTCTTGTATTGGGGGAAATGGGGGGAAAGACATTGTAAGTGATGGAGTCGAATTTCGCCATTACTAGCAATACACACTATCAGATCGACCTCCACGCGGTTCCCTCTGGAAAATGTCGTGTTTAAATGTAGTGAAATTCGTCACGATGGGCTAACGTACCTGCTTCCATCATCACCTATCAAGTCATCCCTCACTGGTGTCCCGCCAGCGTATACCGATAGCACAGGCGAGGTTAGCATTTCATTATCACCCATTAACAAACCACCAACAAATGCTTTCACAAGAAGAGTTGACGTCAGGCAGATGGCCGGTCATAAAATCCTAAAATTTATATAATTGAGATAAGAATAGCAAGATGATGATAAAAGAAGTGTTACAAACGAATATTGTCCCTTGTAGATCTAAGTGGATCCATACATTATTATAGATTTTCTTACTATTACATGTATATATACTATATTAAAATAAAACTGTAATTAAACGATGTCTGTACATATAAGATATTTAATAAAAAATAATATAAGAACAATAGAAGCATAAACAATATTTTTTTTGGAAATTTTGACTCTGTGTGTGTTTCATCACGCAAAAATTAGTGCACCAAATCAGACGCGGTTTTCATATTTATGTTCATCTTAAAACCTGGTGTTTGTTTTCTTATTTATGAAATTCGCGTGTAACAATGAGCCGACAGAAAATAATATCATAAAAATCTTCACAGATCAATAACATTCAGATAGAATCTCTCAGTACAAATGCTTTAACAAAAAATTTGTCTTTATTAAAATGGTATTTTTGATATGTATTATATTAATTTGATTATTAATAACTTTAATCACACAAATAGTCTATTTATTATATTTACTATAAGTATTATCCATATTGTACCTTCAGACTTTCATATACGATGACAAGATTTTGATCAATTAAAAAATTAAAGTTCACGAATAAACCAACATTCACCAGAGGGAGACTTTGTACAAAAGTCGATTGCTTGGGTACCTCTGTCCCATTCGTGTTTCAACCGTGAAACAGTTGTGTTTGCATGGCTGTGTTTCGGTTTGAAGGATGGGATATGGCGTGAATTTACAGGGTACAGAGGAATAACACCTGAGTCCTCAGGAATGGCAACGCATGGGGGTATCATGAGCGAGACAGTATACTCTATTATGTCCATGGTACTGCTCATGTCTATAGATGACGGTTACCACTTTCCATCAAGTGGATCGTCAGCTTGTTTGCCATTCTAAGTTGTATAAAAAAAAACCCTTTTTGTGATATTTTATGACGTTTGATACTCTATCTGAAATGACCTGGACATCGTAGAATTCACTATAACGTCAGTAACATGAGGATGAGCCTAATGCGTTGACACTCCTAAGGAATGTAAATAAAATTATTATATCTCTTATCTCAGAGATTACATTGACATTGCGTGTACCGGAAAGCGTCTATTGACGCACTATGGTGCCACTTTTTTCACTGACGCAGAATGTACCGAAAATATTTTACATAAAAACTATTTTAATTATACAAATTGGCGCTATTTAAAAGCAAAAAAAAAACAGTTCAACAATCAATAAATTTTATTAAGCATACACACAGTATGTTAATTAACATGTTTATTTAAACATACAGATTTCTTCAACTAACATTTATTTCATTGACGTCTTACTGTGATGACGTGATATTAATAATTTTGTGTATATTAAAGTAATTAAATTATGCAATACAAACAGTCTGATTTAAAATACGTACCGTAAAGTAGTACATTATAATAAAATTAACATACATTTAAAAACTACGCGATTAAAATAATAATTATAATACAAAGAAGGCAAGACACAGTTTTGGTATTGATTTTATTATTAAAGTATATTTCATGTTAGTCTATTAACACAGTTGGTATTGTTAGTTTGGTGTAGATAACTGTTTAAATAGAGACAATATATATATCTTTGATTTATATTGCACTGGGATTAACAAATTTTAAAATGTACACTAATTATGGACTTCTAGATTTAGTCCTTGGTTTTCTTAAAACGCCGTTCTATTGTTTTTTTTGTTTCATTTTACAACTTATATAAAAACATTATTGTCAATGGTTACGTGCGAATTAAAAAGTAACTGAACTATATAAATAATTATGTTTAAAACATTATATTACGACGAAAATTTTAAATTGTGTTTCACAAAAAAAAAAATAACTTCAATTGTAGCAAAATCAGTTATTTTGATTTCAAAATTAAACTACTCAATCCGTTTTGATAAAATGTATGTGGGACCAATCTGTAAGTGTATGTTATTTCCGATAAAAAAAGAGTTTTCCAAATCGGTATATATCTAACGGAGTTATAACGTAACGAATATAGAAAAAAAAATACAACCGATATGAGTACCTTTTTCTTGTTGAAGTCGATTGAAAATCATTGAGTTTCAGTTATGGTATCCATTACGTCACAACCTGTAATAATTATACAGACTGTTCAAAACACATAACATAAAAAAATCAGTAAACAGAGCGAATTCTCAATCACCAACATCCTTTTAGATTGTTCTTCAAGTGAAACTAAACATTTTCCACAAAGAAACATGATCCGCAAACCTAAAATCATTTTGTGCCTTCTACACTAACTTGACGCTCCATTTAAACCACGTATATCTTGGACCGTGTTAGCGTATATATTTATTTTCAATATATTTTGTCATTTTTCGATCCATATTTTCTATTAAAATAGAAAAACGTTCAATTTCACCCAAAAAGATGCTAATGATTACGAGTACACTCTGTATATACAAAAATATCTGAGATATTGTCATAACTATAGAAATAAAAATAATGTAAAACCAACATTTTTTTAAACTTATTTCAGCAAGAACGGCCTCTTAAATCGTATTGCTAAAAGATTGATAATAATAATATATGGAAACAACAATTATTCTACAGTTAATAATATAAAGTTATCCATTTATCTTTTTATTCTATAAACAACTATACTCGTAGAGTAACCACTTTTACAAATTATGAAAGAAAATCACAATTCTGAGATATGCCTAGCGCCATTTTGTATTACCTCAGAATAGTACTAATATCATAGAATATTACTAGTATCACAGAATACTATTAATATCACAGAATGCTACTAGTATTCTGTTATTTTATACCGATATTAATAGTATTTTGCGGTTTGCAGTTTCATGTCGATAATATCAAGGTTAATGCTGAAGGCAGTTATTGGGCAAAATGGTCAAGGAAGTCAAGCTATCGACGTGAATAGACGGAGAAGCTCTTATAAGGAACCATTTGGACTTTTCTATACTCCAGGTTAGCCTTCGCGAATCAGGACGATTTGGCTTTTAAATAACTTAAAAGTGTCAAAAAATATCTGTTTTTAACTAACATTACCTAATGCATTCGTACTTATAGAAAGATTCTAAATTAACCTGTGGGAGTCTCGGGTCGCGTCTATGTAACGCAAACGGCTATAAACGGCGACCTTCCACTACTAAATTGGAGAGGCAGATATTAAATGTATCGCAAGAAGATAATGGATGTAAATGGCTGGACAATATTTATTAGAGTTTTACTAATGTATCGTGGATGATGCACTCCTAAAATAACGATGAATAGATATAATCTTGAACAAAGATCCAAAAAATTCTTAAGGATAGAGAAAGATGTGCTCTCTTGCATTACCAGCATCAAAAAGTAATATAGACATGATTTCTCCTAATCTAGTCTCGTATAATGAAATAATAGGTAACCAAAGATAAAATTTATATTAAAATCTTATATTTGTAATTTAATTAAATTGTAGCAATAAATTTTAAATTAACTTTAATTAAATGTAAAAACATTCAATTAAATGTGATTACATTTAATTAAAATATTGCATTTAATTTAATGAAAAAATTTCCATTCCAGTAGCTATACTTAATAAAATTATATGAAATTATAATTTAATGAATTAATTTAACATCTAGCTACCGTAACAATGATATGTTAACATTCTTTCTTTAAAAATCTTCTTCCAAATAATTAACTACCTAATCCAATTTCTATTCTAAAATACTTCTTTTGGTAAAATGTGTAAATAAAATATCGTATTGTTACAAATAATTACATTTTTAACTGAGTATAATTTTTTTTTTCTCTTAAGAGTCATACACTACCTATTAAAAAATATTTCATTTTCATTTAAATATATCGCCCATAATTATTATTTGTATTATAAATATCATAAATAAATATTTTACCCTTAAGATAATATATATACAGAAATATATATCAATATTAGGAAATATAAATACGAGCAGTTAAGTATACATAGTGCGCTTGTTATCAATAAACTAATAATAAATATTTATATATATATATAAATATAATAACCCATGCATTTGTATAAAATGTGTATATTATTACATTTACTACTTACAAACGACGTAAATTTATAAGATTATAAATATTTTAATTTAGTTTTAGGAGATATATATAATTAAAATAGATAATGTTTTAAAAATTTATTAATAAATAAATAAATATTTATATACTTAAGAAAAAATACATTAAAAAAAACTTACTTAGAACAAATGTACACTAAATTAAGTATATATATTAATGGACACTTTTCATTCCAATAATAAATTCCTGTGGGATAATTTACTGTTTAAATCCAATCATTCAAAGTCAGGAATATTTGTTTTTGAATATTGTTTTTTTTTTTATTGTAAGTAAGAATAAAACACGTTATGTTGCAAGAAAAATCTAAAAGTTGCTACTTGATATATCATTGGATTGTGGTCTGTGGTCTGTAACCATAGACATAGAATGGTACTTAATAATAATTACTAGCTACAACTTACTGCGCTCATATAATATATGTTTATGCAAAATTATTCATCCACTTTCTTAACATTATCCCCAAGATATTTAATATAATAATGGTGTCCAAGTGTTTATTACGTATACAAATATATAGTACTTAATATTTTTTTTTTTTATATTCTGTGGACAACATAAATAGTGAAGAATAAAGATGTCTAATACAGTTCTCAAATTATCTTATTTAAGTAAAATAATAGTCTAATAGTTGCCATACAATAACGATAAGTTTAAAATATAATATTCATTGAGAACAATAACAGCCGACATTCCCGAATGCATTTTAATTATTATTTTTTAAAATTATGTATTTAAAATATTTCAAATATGGAATGTTATTGAAATTAATAATATATTATTTTGTAAAATATAACTTACTTTTCTCCTGACAATACAAATATAAGATTAGTTTTAATTTAAAATTCGAACTTCGAAATTTAAAATCATAAAGAATTTTCATCATATTTTTTCTACTCGAAATATTAATTGTATTGTAATAAATTGCGATATTTTCATAAGACGATACACAACCAAAACTTGAATAATTATGAATTAATAAGCCTCTTGGTCCCCCGAAGTCAGCAGGCGCCGCAGGTCGCTCAGGAGTCAACCGTGCCCTCAATCAGCGTTTATGATCTGGAACAAGGAATTTTACTCTTTTAATCTATTCGAAAAAAAAATAAGGGGGTCAAAAGTCCTGAGCGACCTGTGGATACGAGGACAAAATTAGAAAAAAAAATTTCAATCAATATAAAGCCTGCTAATCTTTTTCACGATTTGCTAGTCACTATATTATGAGTATTATTTATGTTAAATTTACAATGTTTAATAAATACAGAATTTTCAAAAATAATTTTGTGACGCCCCTATAATTTTCCTCTTAAACATGATATATTAAACATATTTGCAATCCATTCAATAATTTTATTTATTTACTAGCTTTTACTAGCGGCTTCATTCGCGTGACCAGGACCAGGAAATGTTTATCAATCGAGATAAAAGCAGCTTATACCCTTTTCCGTCCCATATAGTACGTATATATCAAATTTCATAGTGTTTAATTGAGCCATTAAAACGCTAAAAGATAAAAAAAAAAAAACAAACGAAACTCACTTTCACATTTATAATATTAGTAAAGAAATAAGGATTGTACTCGTATTTTACTATCATTTTATAACAAATCTTAGCAACAATTAGTTTTAAAAACCTTGTTTTTAAAAACTTCACGATTAAGAATTTTTTTTTACTTATAAGTAATAATAAAAAAAAAGTAAACGCACACTATGGTTAACACTTCGAATGAACTGCAAGTACAGAATACACACAAACAAACAATGCTGCTACTCAATACGAGCCTTGCTCATATAAAGTATATATATATATATGTATATGTTAGTATGAGCGATTTGACACTTACTCAATCTCATTTAGGGTTGTCAACGTTTCTATGTCTGACCTATTTCATTCAACAACAAAAAAAATGTATTTAATTTAAATTATTTTATTTTTCTAATAATGTTTATTCCTCTTTTTTTTTTTAAAAAAAACAAACATGAATTTATCATAAAATAATAATATCAATAATTTGGTAAAGCAGTCTGTAAAGAAATATTAATACTAACGCTGGATGTAATTAAGGTGACCCTTATATTATATTATATATATTATTATATTTATATAATATCTATGCCAAGATAGTACTTTACCCGCGACTTCGTCTTTAATATTGAATAAATATAGACCAATGTCTACCCTCGTTATTACTGCATAAAATAATGACATTTGATTATAACATAAACAAACTTTTAAATAAAAATTAACCGGCTTCGAAAAAAGATAAAATGAAAAATAATCTTTTTACTATAAATAATACGTAAGCAATGAGTACAAAAATACTTCATATAATAATTTCAAACTTTTATTATATTATTGCAGAAATGTAACTTAATTTCCAAGTTAACTTTAGTATGAATTGTAATTGTACTTTTTCTTTTCTTTAGTAGTTTTATGATTTAGTTACTCGTATCTGAAAACAAGTTTTGACTCTCACTAACAGGATATCATCAAATTGTAATACACGTTGTTAATCATTATCTTAGCAGCCTGAAATGATCACTCCTAAAACCAATCTCAAGGGATCTCATCATCAAATCCTAACTTGCAAGATAATATGACCATTTTTAATAAAAATTAAAATGTGTCCACATTTCACGGAGCAATTTGTGGGCATGTATATATACAAATGTATGAATGTATGTAGTGGAACGCAGAACTTCCATTTTTGAAGTGGGTAAAAAATCAATTTCACATTTATAGTACGTAGTATAAATACGTATTAGCAAGGATGTAAATTATACATGTGTGTGCCAGCCCTGTATTCACGTACACTCACACACACACGCACACACACACATACACACACACACACACACAGAGATACACAAATTGCCAACCGGTCGATTGACGTCAACGGTGGGTGGTGACGAGTGTATAAAAAAATATAAAGCTATCGGCTTACTACGGCAAAACGAGAACTAGCCATAATAAGCCATTGTTTCCACTGCTCCGGCAATTAACGATTTATTTGTCGTCGAGTTAAGCGTGTTTTTTGCTGTTATTATACATGGAATGCTCTTATTGTAGACTACACGATGTATTTCTGAGGACAATTCATTAATTTGGATTACCATCATCATCATCATTATATCAGCCAGAGGGAGACTTTGAACAAAAATCGATTGCTTGGGTACCTCCATCCCATTCATGTTTCAACCGTGAAGCAGTTGTTTGCATGACTGTGTTTCGGTTTGAAGGGTGGGATATGGCGTGAATTTACTGGCTACAGAGGAATAATACCTGGGTCCTCAGGAATGGCAACGCATGGGGGGTATCATGGGCGAAACAGTATACTCTGTTATGTCCATGGTACTGCTCATGTCTATAGGCGACGGTTACCACTTTCTATCAGGTGGACCGTCAGCTTGTTTGCCATTCTAAGTTATATATAAAAAAAAAAGCGTTAATTGTCCATGGCTGAACATAGGCTTCCCCCTAGTTTTGCCAGAAATTGTCACGTTTGGCAAACGTATTGGCATTCTGGGGTGGGCATTGTACAATTAAATATGTTTATGGCAATTGAAACCCCAGTTCGATCCCGACATATAATGGATCATCCCTTCTTTTCCCGTGGGTGTCGTATGTATGATGCGACTAAGGAAGCTTGACCGTCGAGAGATTAGTCAACAACGCCCCTCTTAAAACATCAGCAAAGCCTAACTGCGGTTGCCAACCCGCTTGCCAAATATGGCAACTATTGGCAAAATACTCCTTATGGGGGAGGCTTATTTGTTTATTTATACTTTTGCACACATTCTCGTATGTCTACAGTGCAGACTTAATGCTCGGTGTCATTCTCTACCAGTCAGCTATTACGATAAACAGAGAGAGTATATATATATTTTGAGAAATAACAACTATATATATATATATATATATATATATATATATATATATTATAAATATTTATATACAATAAAATTACTCAGTACTCATTTCAATGTTGCATAATATTATTAAATTTATTTAATAATTTCCTTATAAATAAATATCTGTGAAGTACCAACATTGCATACAGCTCATATATATATATATATATATATATATATATATATATATATATATATATATATATATATATATATATATATCTTTTAAAGTAAATATTTTTATATTTTAAGAAATGAAATGAATTTTAAGAATAAAAATTCATATAACAATGCAAGACATTGCTCAGAGTTTTACTTTTATTTTACTTATCAAACAAGTTATTAAAAATTTTTAATAACCACTTCGATGTCACATCCTGAAGGTAGTGTCTACCATGTAGTCCCGACTTCCTAGATGCTAGCGCCAAAACCTTTTCGGATGTATAATTTTGTTTGAATTTCACTTAAGGTAAGTTCTTTTAACCGTAATTTATATTGAATTTTGCCTGTCCTTCCTCACTTCAGATATTACATCTATGCCAAATTTTATGACAAGTTTAAAGAAAAATTACAATAAACTAACTCACTTCCGCATTTATAATATTAGTAAAAATTTATCTAATCTGTAAAAATTTTAATATCTAACCAGCCAAGTCATGCTTTACTATCATACCCATAATATGACTAAATTATTTTATGAATATCTTATATTCTAGCTAAATAACAGAACAATTTATTACCTTATATTTTTACATACATACATACATATCTGTCACGCCTGTCTCCCATTAGGGTAGGCAGAAACAATGGAACGCCAAATGCTTCGATTCAAGCAGACATCTTTCGCTTCTTCCACATTCATCAATATATTATTCTTATATTTTTATGATTATAATAAAACATATCATGTATTTATTATTATTATTATATGGTTTATTCCTATATTAGTTTATTTTACATAATTATTTAAAATTTAAAGAAATATAAGAAAATATTTATATTTACATATAACATTAAATTTCGATCAATTTTCATGTTTAAATTTTACCATACTAATAAAAAATAGATATAGTATCTGCCTTAACGAATACATACTTTTTTAAGCTCATCTAAAATGTAGGCTAGATGTACAAAAAAAACATGAATCACCAATGAAACTTGCGTCAATGAATACTAAAAAAAAGCAATTTTCGATGATGCCATAATCTACTGATGTTATAAATGTAAAAAATTGCAAATCTAGAATAAATATAAGATTTTGATCCACAAAATAAGCTATGTAAATCCGTGACTAAATAATATGGGGCAAATACGGGAGTATAGCAAATATGAACTGTAAAAAGAATGTATATAACATATTATGGCTGACGGTCGCAACGACTACCTTTTATCATTGCACCCTTAGATTTGCACCACTCACCATCAACAACAATACACGCTAGAACCGAATGGTCGCATATAGGGGGAAAGAGATTGTTAATAATACACTGTAACAACCCCATACATATGCAGGTGTATACAGTTATTTTTATTGTATTATATATTCAATTTTTTACTGAGTATATTTAGTTTATCTTTAGCTATATGGTTATTACCCGTGTTTATTTTACAGTTTTCTTTCAGCTTATCAAAGATTGACTGTAAAAGATCCTTTTATGGGATAAGTCAGCCATTGTTTTTAAATCTTTTAACGTACTCTGTATGAATTATGTACAATAAAGATTTTACAGTACAACACAATACCCCATCTACGAGTTTCACCCTGGAAAACATCGTGGTTAATTCTTGTTAAATTCTTTCACGATTAACTGACGCGCTTTAATTCTCACCTGTCTTTACTCACTGGTGCCCCGTCAGAGTATACTGATAGCGCCTGCGGAGTTACCATTCCATAGTCACCAATTTTGAAAAAAATGGTCGCATATAATGTGGTTTCAATGGAGTTATGGAGGGTACTATGTTCTATGAAACCACATTATATGCAACTCAGGCTAAGAAATTAGCTCCTTGTAGCGATTAAATATACAATTATTTTAATTACAATTTATTTAATTATAGAACTACAATTTAATTTCTTCAAAAGGAATCCTCAGGGTTCGTAACGTTCGTGAGACCACTGACACTACATGTTGCCTGTAGCATACCTACAGTAACTATTTACTATCAGACTGGCTGTATTCTAATTTACCAGTTTTGTGTTATAAAAAAATAATTAATAATTAAAGATTGTATCCCACAAAAAAAACAACTTATATTGCGACAAAATCAGTTATTTTGATTTAAAAATTAAAATACTAGACCGATTTTGATAAAATTTCTATGGAACCAATCTGTAACTATATCCTTGCAGATAAAAAAAATTAAACCCGTTTAGAACTGACGGAGTTATGAAGTAACAAACATATAAAAAAATATAACTGAACTCAGAACCTCTTTCTTTTTGTAGTCAATTGAAAAGAAATGAAATTTAGACAAAATTTGAACCTAGTCCTTTTTTAAGCTTACAGTTCCTTGTCTTTTCATTTTCTACCTAGAATATCTTTAAGATCCCTCAAAAACGTTAAAATCGCGAAAAACAAACAGGTACTATGTAACTAAACAAGTGCACACACGTTACCCCTATCATTACAATCTGTTACAGTATTGTGTTACATTGTAAATATGCTTTAATCAAACAATAGTTACAAAACTACACATTCACATGTGACACACATCTCACGGTCGGCGTTGACGTCAGAGTACCCGGCCTACGTGGAGCTGGGGTCAACACTGTATCAAATATTTGAAGATTGAAAATTCCGACATAGTAATCTACATATTAATGACCTTCGTAATCGAGAGACGTTTAGTCTGCAAACAATATTTCCCTTTGTGTCAATCGTGTAACTACTCTCAGAAATCTTTGCGCATAATTAAATGTTCCTCTCGTGTTCCTAAAGTGGGTACCAAACAATTCTTAAGTAGGCACAGCTCATCTGGCCCCCTCTTAAACGCTTACAAAACACATGTGTGTTGCACTATGCAATTTTAATAGTTTTACTA